AATTAAAAAAAAAAAAAAAAAAAAAAATGCTCTCGTTGAGAGTCAAACTCAAGAGTTCCGCTTACTAAGATGGTGGTCTAACCAACTGAACTACAAGAGCATGTTACTTTCTTATTTTAATTTAAAATAATTGGTCTCCTATTTCAGTACTACAAGTGAAGTTGCTATAAAATTTAAATATAGCTCGAGTAATTTTTTTTGAAAGTATAGCTATGAATTGTAAATACATAGTATATATTTAATGTATGACATAATTTTTCCTATTTTTTTTTTTATAAACAAACTAATAAGAAAAGGAAACAAAAAATGACGTGGAATTCCCTGGTTGGGTAGCTTGAAAACCCCACGGGAACTTTCCACGTAGCATTTCTCAAAAACAGAATCGATTTTTTTTAATTGTTAAAATAGCCACACTCCCACATTCACAATTCAAAATAACTGGAAAAATGGAGCAGACCTTCATCATGATCAAGCCTGATGGTGTCCAACGTGGCCTGGTTTGCTTCATTTCGATTTGTTTTAATTTTGTTTTTATTCCTGTTAAATGTAAGTAATTCTCTCTCTTTTTTGTTGGTTGATCTATGCTTTAATTGACTAATTTTGGATCAATGTTTTGATTTTATCTTTCAGGTTGGTGAGATTATTGGAAGATTCGAGAAGAAAGGTTTCTCTTTGAAAGGTAAATTTTCCTCTACTGACTTCAAATTTCCCCAATTGTTATTAATAAATGTTTATTTTGGTAGATCGATTTAAGAATAAGGGCTTTAGTGTAATATATTTTATTCAATTGAATTCCCTTCGCCGAAAAATTACATTATTCAAATAAGGTTAAAAACAAAATCTTTTGAACATATATCAATTTTTTGAAATGCCCTTATAATAAGTGAAGCTTCTAGTACGGTTGTAAAGGTAGTTCAAAAATTGATTTAGGTCATAGGTTCAGTATTAGGTATGGCGCTCTTGCATTCTTTTGAATCCCTTGGTAGAATTCCTGGCTTCACCACTGATCTAACGGTAAATTTATTTCCATGACCTATAGGTCACGGGTTCTAGCCATGGAATTAGCCATTGAGGCTCGCATCAGGATAGGATGCCTGCATTATACCCCTTCGGGGTACGGCCCTTCCCCCGACCCTGCGTGAACGCGGGATGCTCCGTGAAACACCGGGATGCCTTTACTCAAGTGTTGTTCCCTGCACAAAAGGATATTACCAGTCATAATTTAGTATTGCCCTTGTTGTAATTTTTTTAGTATGTATGTGATAACTTTATTAGACGATTGTACAATCCTTACTTTTTTTTCGCTCGATTAATTTGCTAGAACTAAACTTAGCATGTTGGCTACTCTGTTTGAATGCAGGCTTGAAGTTAATTACTGTGGATCGTGCTTTTGCTGAAAAGCACTATGCAGACCTGTCTGCAAAGCCGTTCTTCAATGGGCTCGTTGAATACATTGTTTCTGGCCCCGTTGTTGCAATGGTGTGGGCAGGTAAGAGTGTAGTTACAACCGGTAGGAAGATAATTGGAGCAACAAACCCGTTGGAGTCTGCTGCTGGCACCATTCGTGGAGATTATGCTATTGACATTGGGAGGTAAAACATCTAATTTCCCAGTTTAGTGTTTGCTATAACGTACATTTGTCTCAAACCAATGTGCCAATAGTTAGGATCATTATGTCTTCCAGCACGCCTAACACCAAGTTAAAACTCGGTTGACAACTTATCTGCTCAATGATGTTATGTAATTCAGTATTTCGAGCTCTTATCCTGCTAGTGATGTTGATTGCTCAGCGGTTAAAAAACGTAAATCTGTTCCTTGGATAATCATTGGGTGCAGAATTTATCAGATTCTGTTCGTGTTCAGTTTCTAATGACTTTTTGCCAAAGTCAGAGTTTTGAGTAATGCATCAGTAAATGTCATTTGTGCCAAGTTCACCTTTTCTTTTATGGCTTTGATAGCTACAACTGTTATCTTGTTTCACAAGTTGAATTAGTCCATAATTTATCTAGAAAATGTTACCTTCAATTTTAGGTTCTTTGGTCTATTTCTTATCTTGGGAAAGTAGATTCTATTGTTGCTTTAATACATCGACTATGCTGGCTTGAGTCGGGTTTCTACTGGAAACAGCCTCTCTACCTGCTCAAGGTAGGGTTAAGACTGCGTACATACTATCCCGAGACTCCACTTGTAGGATTCCACAGGTTTTGTTGTTGTTGTTGTTGTTGGAAAGCGGATCCTATTCAATCCCACTCTTATGTATTTATATTGTTTGAGTATGACGGAGTAAATTGGTACGTTTGCACTATCAAATTAGCCAGGTAGCTGAAAGTATGAGAAACCTTTTAAATCGCAGGAACGTTATTCATGGAAGTGATTCTGTTGAGAGCGCTAAGAAGGAAATTGCTCTTTGGTTTCCTGAAGGTGTCGCGGAGTGGCAGAGCAGCCTTCACTCTTGGATCTATGAGTAAAAGATTTTACGAGTTGACTATCAATAGCCCGTCCATATGCACACAGTGTGTATCTCATAGTGTCACCTATGTGTATCAACAACCCGTCTATCTCTATATATCTTTCCAAACTGCCTGATGTTTGAGTAGAAATATTGTTGTTTCAGACTTGTTTCCATTTGCTAGTTCAAGAAAACAGAGATATGATATGAGCAGAATTAGTGTAGTCATTTCACTTGAAGCTGTATTTTACATAATTGAGCTTTGCCATATGTCAACTTCACTACTATTAAAAAGGCTGCCCGATGCACTAAGGTCCGGCTATGCATGGGATCTGGAGCAGAGGCGGATTTAGGATTTCTAGTATATGGGTGCACTACTAAAAAAAGAGGAAAAAATATATTAAGTGGGAATTGATCACTATTGCTCTTGGTAAATAACTCAGCTTTCAACCAAGTGCACCATTCAACCTTCGTAGAGCATGGGTGCAAACAATTAATATTATATCAATTTTAGAAAATATGTAAATGAAATATCTAAATTTACAGGTAGAGCATGGGTTCACGTGCCCCATAGTTTTGCTTATACATACGCCCCTGATCTGGGGAAGGGCTGGACCACAATGGTCTATTGTATGCTGTTTGAGCAAAAAGTTTAAGACTCTTTTGCCAACTTCAATTATCAATACTAAAAGAGGTAAATCTTAGCTAAACATAATTTATCCCAGATCCAAACATATACTCCCTCCGCTCCAATTTATGTGAATTGTTTGACTGGACACAGAGTTTAAGAAAAAATGAAGACTTTTAGAATTTTTGGTCCTAAACAAGTTAAAAGGGGGTCGAGATTATTTGTGTGGTTATAAAATCATCTCATTAATGGTAGAATTATAAGTTTAAGCTAAATTGTTACCAAATTTAGAAAGGGGTCACTCTTTTTGGAACGGACCAAAAATAAATAGGTTCACATAAACTGGAACAGAGGGAGTACAACGAGAAATACCAATTGTAGGAACATATTAGATTTATCGATATCGTAATCTTACTTCAAACACGGGAGATGAGTTCATATCTGAAGGCAACAAGAATTATAAATGAAAGAGTAAAGAGGAAAAAGTGAAGCTATTGTTCGTTTGCCAGAGATTCTTCTTTCCCCTTGTTATTTTCCTAGTTTTTCCTTTCCTGTCTCCTTTTCTCTCTTTTTCTCGAGAGAAAATCCCCCCTTGTTAGTGCTTACCCCATCTATATATAGTTTCTTGAACTTCTATTCAATGGTCTGTTACCAATATGCTTTCCTACAGCTGTCCTTTTCGTCATTATTCGTGTTCAGTATTGACTTGACATACGTTGTCGATGATTTGATCCTGAGGTCGGTCGTGGTGTTCTTTGCTGTTTCGCCACCTGGGCGAGATCCCAGCTTGGTCGACCACTATGGTCAGATTTTGACCTATATAGTTAGTCCCTCCGTCCGTAGAGGTCGTCTCTTAGCGGGTTCGACGGGCGGATTCTGTCGATTTGAAGGTTAGGAGAAATCTGAATGTTTACGCCTTAAGCGAGATTTTTTGATGGAGGCGATGGCGTAACGCTTCAATGATACATGTGGATCGTTGCATCCGTTCGGAGTTGAACCGTTGTGCTGATTCAAAGCGTCGTTTGTAGTTACTGTCATTATGACACACGTTCCCTATGGATTGAACCGTTTCTTATGCCCTATCAGTTTTGATTGGCAACTCTTGGGTTTCCTGATCGGGGCATTTATGTTCCTATAAATAGGGGAAAACACCTTTCTACTGGTACACTTTTTAGAACTATCAAAGAAGTTTTGCGAGTCTTTACCTTCTCCGTTACTTCGGATTTTTAATTCATTCTCCTGTTAGTCGGAAATTGACATCACCGTCTTCTTTCTTACTTCCCTTTGTTCATTCGCTCTGTTCAATCGCGATAAATGGCTGGTACTTCTTCCCGCGCTGACAGTCTTGCCAAAGTTCCGGTGCCAGAAAATGATGCTCTTGCTCCCGAAGGAGTGGAGGTGGTGGAGGATGAGGGGGTTCCAACAGCAATTGAAATATTGCCCCATCCGGGAAAGCCATAGACCGATTTTAACAGCCCTGCCGGAGAGGAACCAGAGCATGTTCCCTCTATTATAGACGAAGCGGCGATTGCGGAGTTTAAGACAAAATGGGGGTTTCCGCCTCATGTTGAGATGTTGCCGGCGGTGGGAGATGATATTGTACATTTTGACCGCCCAGGATATTGTGCGTTCTATGCATACCCTTTATCGTTGGGTATACGCTTCCTCTCCCTTCCTTGGTGGTAAATTTCTGCCCTTTTTACGAAGTATGTCCGGCTCAACTTTTGTCGTACATATACAAGATGTTCCTCATGTTTGCTCAAATTCGTGGAGCTTGCCGATCGGGAGATCACTCTGGGGCATATGCTCAACATTTTTGCTCCTCAACTTATTCGAGGCGCGATGATCCACATGCGCCAACGAGGAACGGAAAGTTTAGTGGTGAAGATGGACGATAGAGCCAATCATCATTTCTGGGAAAGCTACTTTTATGTGCGGATCGAACACCTTGTGACGGACCCAGTAGGGTTCCCTGAGAGGTAGAACTTCGCACGTAAGTTTTTATATCTCATGTCGGAATGGTAGTCGATCGTTTTTCTTTGGGCAGTATTGTTAAATCGTTTTTCTTTTGCAGCTGAGAGACTACCTCCTACGCCTATTGGTGATATCTGCGAATGGGTGAATGCCATTCTTCCCCATATGGTGGGGGTTCGCGAATGGGCGTCCTTATATGAGAAATACGGGCGTAAGCCTCTTACTGGTAAGTCGACTTGCCGCTGCTTCTGTTTTTCATCTTGCAATTTGACCCCATTGCTCACACGACCATTACCGTTAACAGGGAGAGTGCGAAGGGAGAAGGCTTCTCCGCTTGCATTCCGTCGACTGACGTCTTCTGCTCGGCCTGCACCGAGGTCTGCTGCCCGACCTACAGCGAGGGCTACTCAAGCTGAACCTACGACCGGAGTCGCGGGCGTAGAAACTGTTCCCCAATCTGGGACTCCGGCTCCAACTACGCGCTCAATGGATGAATCTTCCCATGCTGAGGACGGGGAGGGTCCGTCGAAGAGACGGCGAGTGGAGTCCGAAATGGCTTCTCCAGCTGCAGTACATTCAAAAGGCAACCCTTCCTTGACGGTGTTGGAAGTGGGTGGTGATGCTAACCCGGCCGCAGAGGTAAACCCGGCGAGCGAGACCAACCCAACGGCAGATGCTTCGGCTGTTGTGATTGATCAACAAGCTACTATGACGGGAAGTCGGGGTCCCTAGGCCGTTATTGCCACTTTGGGCGTGCCTTCGTCTTTCGGGCCGAGTCGTGCTTCTTCTTCAACCGCAGAGAGGGGAAAGGGTATCGTGGACGATGACTATGAGTCAGAATCCGATCTTAATCCTGATGATGTTAGAATATTCGATGAGGGCCTTACCCTCACAGTGGTAAGAGTGGGAGGTCTGTCCCGTATACTTGAGATTCCGTCGGTGATTAACCTTCTGCATGACATGGAAAACTTGGTACCGTAGTTTGACCTTTTGTGCTCTGCCGCAGATCCGTCGGCAAATTTCTCCTCCTTCTTTCGTGTTCCTTTTGTTTTTGGTGACTTTGGCCTTCACCGACTTTTTTCTTCTTTTTTGGGCTTTTAGTCGTACATGTTGGAAATTGAAAGTGCTCGCAGGGCCGACACTCGGGCCAAAATTTTTCTGATGATATTGGAGAAGTATCGAAGCTACCGCAACAAGTGTCGCGAGATGCACGAACGGCTCAGACCGAACGCTGGTAGTCAATCTCTCAGGGAGGACCTGGAGAAGAGGGATCAGGAACTAATGCAGTCTATTCGCAGGAATAGCGAGCTCGAGGAGCTACTTCGTGTAAATGACGAAGAACTTGGGTGTGTGAGCATCTTTAGGCGAAGGTGCTATCATTGCAGTCCGAGTTGGATCAAAATGCCATCAGAGTTGAGGCTTTGAGTGTAGAGTGGATGGGGAAATTAACCGAGCTAAAGAGAAAGGTCTCTGAGTTGGAGAGTGCCGAGAGTGCTTGGATGTCGGCTTCAGCGAGGGCTGTGGCATTGGAGGACACTATCCGTGTCCTCCAATTCGAGCAGGAGTCTGAGAGGGCGAAGACTATGCTGAGGGAGGCGAGGCTTGAAGAGCGCATTGGCGAATTGACCGGGAAGCTTCAAACTTGGGAGATCGGGTCGTTTCTCTTGAGGCCGAAAAGGCGCAATTGTTGGCCCAAGTCGAATATGCCTCTGCCGCTGTTCCTCACCATTTTCACGAGCTCTAGGTCCATGCCGAAGCCCACCGGGATATATACAAGAGTTTGTGGGAAGCAGTCAATATTTCTGAGGCCACTTATGAAGGAGCTCGTGTGAAGGCACGAGAGGCTCGTGTTAACTGTGGCTACGATCCTGCAACACCGGAGGCCGGCGAGGATGTTAATGCTGAGAAGGAACTTCCTGGAGATGGTAATAGGGAGGACGGCGGTGATGACACCGAGTGAAAAGTTGTTACCTTAGTCTTCTTTTTTTGTCTTTTCTTTCTATTTTTTGTACTGGGCCAGTTTTGGTCTTGTATAATCTGCGGCCATTTGTGCAACTGTCTAAATAAAAGTGGTTTTTCGTCGTTGTACGTAGGGCTGTGCACGGATCGGATCGGATCGGATTTAGCATATTTCGGATTCGAATTTCGGATTTCGAATTCTAGAAAATGCAATTCGAATCCGATCCGAATTATATCGGATCAGATCGGATTTTAAAGTTTGGATCGGATCGGATATCGGATCGTATTATTATGCCTCAAAGTTAAACTAATATGTATATTTTCTTTGTAAAAGAGGCAATACATTAAGAAAAATTCATGTTTATGCAATTATGAGAGTACTATGGTGTCAATATATCTAAATCTAGCAATTGTAAAGGTAATAACTTGGAGGTTGATGTAAATTAAAGTGTAGTATTTATACATATCCTAATAATTTCGAATTTCGGATTGGATTGGATTAAAATATACCAATCCGAAATCCGATCCGAAATCCGAAATTTTAATAAACATAATCCGAAATCCGATCCAATCCGAAATTCAAAATTGAATGGATCGGTTCGGATTTCGGATATCCGATCCGAATGAACAGGCCTAGTTGTACGTCCTTTGTATTTCTCTCCCTTTCCCTTTCTTTACACATTT